GACACATTAGAGGTGTTACAAGAGAGTAACAAATATAAAAAAGAAGAAGGGGAAATAAGGACGATAGATGTTGGATAGGAAACCACACCAGAGCACCCGTCAACCATCCACCTATGGTGAAATTAGGCGCTCGTCAAAGTAATGAAATAGAAGAAAAAGGCATTTTTCCACCAGTTTGGCAATTTTTATTAAAATTTTGTTTTTCTGACTGAACATTTTTTATATTCATATGAAAACACATTTCCATGTGAATTTTACTGAAAATCCTTGTTTAAAGGCACACAGTGAGTAATTATCAGTATTCAAGGCTTCTTCAGCTATTGAAGTTCACAAACATTGGCGGCCATTTTCTCATTAATTTAATCACTGAAACCAGACTAGATCTACCCCACCCACTTCAATCGCAAATATCTCAAATTCTATTCAAGCTAGATAAATATTTTTTTCATCAACAGCAAGGCAAAAGTATAAGCCTTCAGGTGATATCAATAACTCCACATTCCCATAAATTGACGAGCGCCTGATTCCACCACATCGTGACACATTAATTTATAAGTATGTAGGCTACGCACACAAGATCAGTTAAAACTGACAGCTATTTGTCTGTCCTCTTCGTGAAAAGAAAATACTATATGATGCAATCTTGTCTTTATATAATACTTCTATTTGTGATCTCTTCAAAATCCGCCAGAAAAAGATTTACAAGCGAGTTATTTTGTTGCTTTAAAAAAACCCAAACGTTTTAATTTGTCATTATAGCACAAAGTCCCCTTCAAACAACTACTAATACGCAACGCTTCTTTCTTGTCTTTATTTCTCAACGAATTTTGACATTTAGATGGTTTACAGATAAATGTATAAGAACATAATATGGGATTTTTTTTAATATCAAGAAAGATGTTTCCACACTTTTTTTTCTGAATTGTGTTGAATGATGCGCCATTTAGTGAGCTCTGTTAGAAAACTTGGTTGACTTGACTCCTTTTTAACAGTTTAACAATTGTTTTGTGTACATTTGTGTTGGGTCCTGATGGAAGGGGATTGGTGGAGAATGGGGAGGGAGAAGGGAAGCAAAATAAGGTATCCCTCTTTCTAGTTTCCCCTGCACCTTATTCCAATTTTAATAGTAGAATAGTTGGAATATAAATACAGTTTAGCCACAAAGAGATACTGTGGTTCATGATTTGAAGGTAACACTATTATGATTTTCTAAAAATCAGTTAATTGTTCTTGAACCGAAAAATGTGTCACTCATACAAAAAACAACACACAGATTTCTAATCCAGATTAGCATGCATCTCACGGCAACTGCTGGCACGGAACACCAAATCACTAGCCAAACAACAGGAGGGAAAACTGCAATTAGATATCTGGGGTTGAAAGTACATAATATTGTTTACTTGTGGCGTCGGTGGCCTAGCAGTTAGGCTACCGGACTCGTAATCGTGAGGTTGCGGGGTCGGGGGTTCGAGTCGCGATCCCGACGTTGTGTCCTTGGGAAAGGCACTTTACACGAATTTTCCTCACTTCACCCAGGTGGAAATAGGCACCCGCCCATAGACAGCGAAAGATTTTGTCAGTATGTTAGTGTTGTAGCGCCTATAAATGGCTGCTTGCACTGTATGCTTCCCAGGAAGTTGAGTCTGTTTAAGAATGCTCTCATGTCAGCTGGGGTAATAGTATATATTGTGAAGCGCATATAGCTTGCTGTTGAGCGGGGATTTGCGCTATACAAATGCCATCAAATGCTATATAAAATGCTATCCATTAGATATAGGTGCTTTAACACCCCCATCGACACAAGTAAAGAACAAGTGTTATAGACTTGGATAGAGTTGGATCGTACGAAAAAGCCGTTAAAAAAAACTCGCACCTGTGGTAAATCACAATAGCGTTTTTGTAGGCCTGAACAAAAACTAATAGATTATAACCATTACTGGAAGAGTAACGACCGACTGCACGGGTTGCTAAAAACATTGAGAGGATCAATAAAGAAAGAAGCTTCCAGCTTTTATGAACACAGGTAGACTTGGAAAGAGTTAAATTGTGTAAAGAAACCATAAAAAGCGCATACCTGTGGTAAAACACAAATTGTGATTATTGTTACAACTAAGTATGCCAACCCC